AAAGACAAAAAGAATGATCAATGTAGAAAAGAATGAAGGGATTCAATAAAAATTAAAAAGATTAAAGGTGTGGAAAGTTGTGAAAGGAGAAAAAGTTTGAAATGAACAAGAAAGAGGGATAGTGTGTCTCTCTAACCCCTAACAAAGAATCAAATGACTTAAAAAGTCAAGTGAATGTGTGCCAAAATGAAGCAAATAAAGTACTAAAGGGAAGATGGAACTTACTTAGACCAAACATTTCCTACCCTAAACCAAAAGCCTTCACTATATTTCCACAAAAGCCCTATATGATCTTGAATTGAATGAAGCTTACATTAGTAGTGACTCACATAAGGGGCACACTTATGGTACTTAGAGCCGGACTTGTGACCTTTGTTTGAGAGAGATGAGCGTGTTTCCACTATCCTTGTTCTGAGTGCTACAATCTTAAAGGTGAGGTTTGCTTAGGGAAAGTTGAGGATGTATGAGTTTGGGTTCCACAATGACCAAAGTAACAAAAAGAGTTTCTTTGATCTGTTGAGTCAACTCTTGATGCTCTTGTGTTGCACTAAATCCATGGTGCTTAAAAGAGTGATTGTTGTTAATGATTCATTTGAATTAAGGGTAATTGTTAGTCCCAATTAATGCTAGATGAGGTTACTTTAGGTCAACTGAATTTTCTTGGATTTACTCTTAAGGGTAGGTCTTATTTTGTTTGCTTTAGGACAAGCAAAAGCTTAAGTTTGGGAGAGTTGATAACTAGGGATTATGGTGCATTTTACACTCCTTCTTACTTGAGTTTTGATTGAAAATGTGTACAAAATAGTCTCAAAGGTTTACATGTTGTACTTGTTTGTAGGGTTTGGTCAACAAGGTGACAATTAGTCAAAATCAGCTCAAAAAAGAGAGAAACATGCACAAGTACCAAGAACAAGTCCAAGCATAGTGCAACAGGTCCAATGCGGCCGCATCCATTCTATGTGGTCCGCAGTGAAGAAGTTCAGAGAGGTGCTCATTTCAGACAGTCAAGCATTGCGGTCACAAAGCATTTCATGTGGACCGCAATGGGCTCACCGCGGGAGCACTCAATATTGTGCGATCCACAATGATTGAGTTCAGAGAGTTGAAGATTTGGAGCTTAATGCCTATGCGGTCCGCGGTCCTTTTTGTGCAGACCGCAACAGAAGCCACCGCGGCCGCGGTGCATTTTGTGCGACCCGCGGTAGCTAAGTTCAGAGAGCAGAGTTTTAAGCCAAGAAGCCTCAATGCGGCCGCACTCGATTTTGTGCGGCCCGCACTACTCCCGCAGGGGTATTTTTGTCCAAAATATTCGGCCTAGTATAAATAGTTTCTTTTTTCATTTTTAAGTCATCAGTTGTATTTTAACTTCTAGTTGCGCTCGTGAACAGTGTTCCTTATCTATTTTGAGTAGAGTAGTTTTATCATTGAATCTTCAAGATTTAGCTTGTAATTAAATATTATAGGTCTTCATCTATTTCTTTGTTTTCTTCTATTATCATGAGTAGCTAGACCCATTAGATAGGGTTGTGACTCAACCCTAGTATGGGTATTTGATGGGTCTTGTGTTTTAAGGCTTGGATGTCTATGGGTGTTTGATATTTGTGCTAATTTATGGTTTCAATGTTGAATTAGTGGTTACAAACAATAATTTGTGCCTATTTGACTTGGGTTCTTCTTGAGAAAGAGAACTTGAGTCTAGGAAAATTAGTCCAACAAGGAATTGGATCATATTCAAGATATTGATAGTCCCAATTAAAGGGTTAAACCTAGAGATAGTAATACCCGACTTGAACCTAAATTGCTTGCACAAATTATCATACCCAATTGGTCATGAGAAAGTCAATTAGGGCAAAATCACTCAAACTACCGAGAGGTATAGAGTGAGAAGTTTAGTGCATTGGTTATATCGTAATCCCCAACATGACAACCTAGCCTTAGACCCAAGAACCCGTCAAGTATCCACCTAGGAGAAAGTCACTTCCCTAGTGCCTTCTTAACTATTTAGACAACCTTCAAGTATTTCACTCTTAGCTTAATTTAGCATCTTATTGGCATAAAATTAGAAGTAAAATCAAAAGACCAACTATTATTAGAAGTGCAATTAAGAGCAATCACTCATCTCTAACTTTGATAGAAACCCAATTCCCATTTCTAGATCCCTGTGAAAATCGATCCCGACCTTCTCGGGTAAAAGCTGCTTCAACAACTCTTGCTACTTTGTAGTAGTGCAGGGTTGGCACCGATCAGTAAGCGGCGATGGTTCGGCGGCGTTAGTGGCCGACCATTACTAGCACGTATTTAATGTTTTGGGGAAGCGAACCGACGGGACATTTCGGTCACCTCGAGCGCTTACGTCACGGGGATGACATCATCATCAGGTACTAAAAAAATCGAGGCTCAAATCGTTTCTTATCATCTTATTCTAAGAAACGCGGGAACTATCTGTATACGGTCAAAATCAGGTATGCTTGATTTAGTGGGCTCGAGAATCACTTTAAGAATAAGTCCGAAGTATACTGGGTTCAAGGCCGAAGGTAGAGTTCGAAGTTCGAAGATCAAAGTGACTGATGAATGTCAAGGCCAAACGTGACTGGCCTCGGGATAATGCCGTTGTGGTTTTGTAACAAAAAGAGCAAGATTCCCGCCACGTCCCCAAGATCATGACATAAATTTCGGAATAGATTTGTACGAGTTAGTACGAATCCATACTAGGCGGTTAGACAACTGTCCCAATAAGATTCCTTACTGTAAATAGAAATGTACCTTATTTAGGGTTCCCCTACTATATAAAGGGGATCCCAATCATTTGTAACGATCATCAATCATTGTCAAAGAATATACTCTCTTACTTTCTTGCTCATATTTCATCAGAATTGTCCTTTAATCTTTTTGTTCTTGCTTTATTGTTCTTGACCTACCTCGGGCCCACCTTAGCTCGAGGTCGAGACTGGTTTGCACACTGGTTTGATTTTACTTACTTCTCTCATTTATACGTCAGATTTCTTGGTTATTAATTAGTATTGAACTAAATCACATATCTTTAAAACCACAAACAAGTTTAATTGTTACTTTTATTTTCGAGGTAAATAAAATTGTATATAAATAGTTAAAATTTCTTAAACGTATTTGTCTATATATACAGAAATGGTGCATATTTTTTTATTTTTATCATGAATAAGTTGTGGGTGTAATAATACTCTACGTCCACAAAACTCAAAATCCTGGATTCGTTCCTGCTTCTTGAGGAGAATTATTAGCAAGAGTGGAATTTACTCATTAGAGGTAATTAAATGAAAAGCTATTTAATAGGGTAATATAATTTATAATATAGTATAACTAAATATAAAAAAAGGAAAAATGACACTATGTAGCCACTCTCAAAATAATAACCAAAAATATGTATATTTTTTGTAAATTTTTTGTATATATATAATTTTACATGTTATATACGAAAATTATATAAATTTTATACACTTTCTAGGTTATCGAATGTAAATAGTTTTTGGCATGTGCTAAAAGGGGGCATTTGCATCTATACCCGCTTTTTGGGTCACGTTTTAACTTGTACTCGCTTTGAAAAAAATATTGCAAGTTTACCCACTTTTTCACGTAATTTCAGCATACGGGGCTAAAGTAGCAAAGACAATCACGCAAAACTTTAGCATTCTTGTAGACGGGCCTGAAGTAGCAAGTGTGCTGAATCAAGTGTGCTGAAATTTTTATTTGTAATTGCTAAACTTAAGCATAGTAGCTGAAGTTTTGTTCTCTATTTGCTGAAGTTTTTGTTTGTATTGCACTAAATAAGCTGAAGTTTTTTTGTTCTAGATTCATTAGTTTTGCCATTAAGCTTTTTCAAAAACTTCAGCAGAAGATGCTGAAGTTATTTAGTTCATTTATAAAAACTTCAGCACTAAATAAGCTGAATTGTTTTTGTCCTGGATAAGATTTTTCAAGAACTTCAGCAGAAGATGTTGAAGTTATTTAGTTCATTTGTTTTTTTGTCCTAGATTCATTAGTTTTGTCATAAAGCTTTTTCAAAAACTTCAGCAGAAGATACTGAAGTTATTTAGTTCATTTGTAAAAGTTTCAGCACTATATACGCTGAAGTTCTTGAAAAAGCTTTCTAATATACTAGATAAATAATCAGATTGCCAACAGTATCTAAATCATAAATTTTGAAAATAATAAACGTGAAAAGAATAGAATTATCATGAAAAGAATCACGAAGTGTGACCTTAAACTTCCCGTACGTGAAAATATTCACAAGTTATTGTCTACTAACTTACGTAATTATTTATAACTTATTTTTAAATAATCTGATAAACATACTTATGGTAATCATCCCATAAACTGAAGTTTCATAGAAGCACCAACAGCAGCAGAAGAAAGAAGAAAAAGAAGAAGAAAATGAAGGAGGAGAAGGAGGAGGAGAAAGGGTGCTGAAATTGTTTAAAAAGTGGGTACAAATTAAAACTTTTAAAATAAATGAGTATAGGTTAAATGGGGGCGACCGAATAGGCGCCCCGTGCAATTTTTACTGCTAAAAGTGAAAAATCCCAATAAAAATCCTTAAAAATTTTAGGTCCGTGTTGCACAACACAGAGAGTCTGATTCAACAAATTAGACAAGGCCAAGTATTAATTTTCTTTTGTTTCAAATCTTTTTGGAAAACAAACATGTTTAAATTAAGATTCTAATTATGGTAAGTAGTTTTTCATGAATAAATGTTCGAATTAATTAAATTGCATTTAGGATAAAAAACATGCGATTGCTGAAAATGAAGTTAAAATTGATTTATTTTCCTTGAAATTACAGCAATTTGGTATCGTGAAAACTTGTTTGTTTTCTATACCAAACCTCTTGGTTTTAATTAAGATTTTTTTTTCAAAATTGATCACAATTTTAAAAAGTTGTGATGCTACTTTGGGCATTTATGAAAGTGTACTGAATATCTCATAGAATTTTGTAGTTGCATAAGTATAGATCTCAATGAGTCTACGTACACCAAAACATCATAATCTCAAAATTTAGAAGTTTAATCACACTTATTCTTTTAATCTCTGCAAAACTCTTTATAGTCAATCTTATTTGATATTTTCATAGAGCAATAGCTTCATTTCTTCTATATAATAGAAGAGCAACATGTTTTGACATGTCTGCTTAGTGTCATTTTAAAAAAGTTTGAGGGTAATTCAATCATTTAGCATGAACTTCTATACCTGCGTTTTTTCTATCCACAAATACTACGTGTAGCTTTCTTGATTTCTTTCTTAGCCACCGCATCCTTTTCCCACCGCATAATCTTATCGCGTACCTGAGGTCCCGAGTCTGCTCATCTTTCTTCATTCTCGATTTTCCTCTCTTTGGTCTTGCTTACTGATTTCTCATTGAAATTTCTCTCCTAATACAGAACATTTTATCTCTTTTGTGCTCAACGTGAGAAGAGAACCTACAAAAACCATTGAGCTTCACAATTACCTAAAAGAATACAAAAGGAAAAGAGAACCTGCATAAACCATTGAGCTTCACAATTACCAAAAGAATACAAAAGGGAAAAAAAGAAGAGAAAAGAGAAAAAGATCTAAGAAGAATGCAGAGAACCTAAAACAAACATAGGACAAAATGAAGGAAAAAGAGATAAAGATATGGGCAACGTTGATTGAAAGTGAAACATATCTGCAGCTTGAGAGGAGAAGACAAACAGAGAGCTATGTATCTTGTTAACATACACCTGCTGTTGTTTAATAGTTACGGGCGGAGCTCTGTACAAATAAATGAAAGCCACGTATATAATATCAGTGAGAGAGATGATCTGAAATGACTTAATTAACCTAGACCATTAATAAAAAAACACATAACACACATGTCAAAACTCAAGCTCTATTAGTTTTGTGATTAAGCTTTTTAAAAAATTTCAGTAGAAGATGCTGAAGTTATTTAGTTCATTTATAAAAACTTCAGCACTAAATAAGCTAAAGTTTATTTGTCCTGGATAAGCTTTTTCAAAAACTTCAGCAGAAGATGCTGAAGTTATTTAGTTCATTTGTAAAAACTTCAGCACTAAATAAGCTGAAGTTTTTTTGTTCTAGATTCATTAGTTTTATCATAAAGCTTTTTCAAAAACTTCAGCAGAAGATGCTGAAGTTATTTAGTTTTTTTGTAAAAATTTCAGCACTATATAAGCTGAAGTTTTTGAAAAAGATTTCCAATTTACTAGATAAATAATCAGATTGCCAGCAATATCAAAATCATAAATTTTAGAAACAATAAACGTGAAAAGAACAGAATTATCATGAAAAGAATCACTAAGCTTGACATTAAACTTCATGTATGTGGAAATATTCACAAATTATTGTCTACTAACTTATGTAATTGTTTATTGTCACGACCCTAAACACAGACCCAGTCGTGATGGCGCCTCTCGTGAAGACAAGGCCAACCGGCACTTTCCATTTCTTCCAATTATTAACAATTTAGCATTTAGAAACAGTCTATACATGAATAGATAATCCAAAGTTGTAGATAATATCATAAATACGTGGAAGAACAACCCAACGCAGCCCTAACCGGGGTGTCACTAGTCATGAGCATCTACAAAACCTAATACAAGTCTGAAAGGTCTACAACATGTACAAAAGTCTGATATGAGATAGAAATGATAAAGAGGGAGAAACACGGGTCTGCGGACGTCAAGCAGCTACCTCGTGAACTCTGAATGTCCACCGGGAGCTCTCAACTCGCACTGGCAGGATCAACAACGCCTGAATTTGCACACAGGGGTATAAGGAGTAAAGTGAGTACTCCAACTCAGTGAGTAACAAATGTAAATAACGACTGAAAGTAAGAAAACACGTAAGGCAAAAGGCATTCTATAATGAAGCAGTAAAATCATTTAAAAGAAGTACAACAGTGAAAAGTCAAGTAAAATCCTCTTTCAACAAATAAACAAGTAATTGACAGGTAATTAAGGTAGAGTAAACAAATAGAAGTTTGCCCCTCGGGCACAGTATCACCACATCCTCCCCTCGGGCAACATCTCAGAACAATAACAGCCCCTCGGGCTCAATATCACATCACAATGGGTACCCGCGCTCACAGGGGGTGTGCAGACTCCCGGAGGGGCCCTTACGGCCCAAGCGCAATACCAAGCCATCTCGTGGCATCAAAACTAGGCACTCGGCCTCATATCAGTCAATCCACCTCGTGGCACATATATCTCAGGCTCTCGGCCTCAAATCAGTATTAGTGTTTCCTCACAACTAGGCCCTCGGCCTTACTCGGTAAAAAATACTCACAAGCCCCTCGGGCAATAGTAAACATTGTTATTAGCCCAAACATCATTTAAAATATCATTTAAGTCTTAAAACTAAGTAAACATGGATGAGTATGAAAACAGTGAAAAATAACAAGAGTGAGTTCAAGTGTAAAGTCAAAATAGTGAGGAAATATCAATAAAAATCCCTAAAGGGTTCAAATAGTTGGCACTAGGCCCAAATATGGCATTCAGCCCAAATAATGATGAAAGCAAATAGTATATGCGGTAAAATCATCAATCGGGACGGACCAAGTCACAATCCCCAATAGTGCACGGCCTCGCGCTCATCATCACGCGTGTGTCTCATCTCAATATAGCACTACGATGTGCAACTCCGGGGTTTCAAACTCTCAGAACATCATTTACAATCATTACTCACCTCAAACCGGCTAAATCTCTAGCTCGCAACACCTTTGCCCCTCGAATCAGCCTCCACTTGCGTCAAATATACCCAAATCAGAACGAGGATGTCAAAATATGCTAAGGGAACGAAGCCCAAGCGAAAACAATCAATAAAGGGCACAAATCCCGAAATTACCAAAACCCGACCCCCGGGCCCACATCTCAAAATTCAGAAATTTTTATATCAATAGATTCCTCATCTCCCCACGAGTCTATGCATATCAAGAACACTAAAATCGGAGTCCAAATGACCCCTCAAATCCTCCTTTAAAGGCCTCTTAAACTCAAGCCCTAATCCTCCATTTTTAGCCCTTTAATTCCTTTAACTACAGCTTTAATCCATGAAATACTACCATAGAAATGTGTTTTAGGTCCAAAATCCTTACCTTAGCGAAGTTCCCTTGAAATACCTCTTTCAAATCACCCAAAAAGCTCCAAGCCGAAGTCCAAAAATGGTGAAATAACCCAAAATTCGCGAAGGACTCTTTTTAATTCTTCTGCCCAGTTGTTCCGTCTGCGGCCCCATCGCCGCTTCTGCGGTACCGCATTTGCAGTAAATCCTTCGCTTCTGCAGAATTCACTTAAGAGCCCAAAAGTCACATCTGCGATATGCCTTCTGCATCTGCGGCTTCCGCAGATGCGACCATCCTTACCGCTTCTGTGGTCACTGACAAATCCTCATAATCAGCTCCTGCGGCCATCCCATCGCATATGTGGCGCCGCACCTGCGGTCCCCAAACCATAGGTGCAAAAACACCAGAAGCAGTAAAACTTCAGCAGCTGCAATAACATCTCAACTCCTCAACCATCCGAAATCACCCTGAGGCCCCCGGGACCTCAACTAAAGGTACAAACATAACCCTATACCTTATTCAAACTTGTTACAATCATCACAACACCAAATCAACCAAAACACCTCAGATTCAAGCCTAAGTTTCTAAAATCTTCTGAATTCCGTTTTTGATAAAAAACCCAACCAAACCACGTCCGAATGACCTGAAATTTTACACACACATCCCAAATGACACGACAAAGTTACTACAACTCTTGGAATTCCATTCCGACCCCTATATCAAAATATCGCCTACCAACCGAAAATCGTCAAAATATCAACTTCGCCAATTCAAGCCTAAAACTACTCCAACCCTCCAAAACCCATTCCGATCACACTTCTAAGACATAAATCCCCTCCCGAAGCTAACTGAACCATCAGAACTCGCATCCGAGCCCTCTAACACATAGGTCAACATCCGGTTGACTTTTCCAACTTAAACTTCCTTAAAATAGACTAAGTGTCTCAAACCTTACAAAATCATTCCGGACTCGATCTGACCAACCCGATACCATAAAACACGGATAACGAAGCATAAAGAAGTAGAAATGGGGAAAATAGAGCGGTAATTCATAAGACGACTGGCCGGATCGTCACATCCTCCCCAACTTAAACAAACGTTCGTCCGCGAACGAATCAAAAAACATACCTAAAGCCTCAAACATGTGAGGATATCTGCTCCACATTTCCCGCTCGGTCTCCCAGGTAGCCTCCTCCACGGGCCGACCTCTCCATTGCACTTTCATTGAAGCTATATCCTTTGACCTCAACTTCCGAACCCGACGACCCAAAATAGCTACTGGCTCCACATCATAGGTCAAATCATCATCCAACTGAACCGTGCTGAAATCTAGAACATGGAACGAATCCCCAATATACTTCTGGAGCATAGAAACATGAAATACCGGATGCACACTCGACAAGCTGGGTGGCAAAACAAGCTTATAAGCCACCTCCCCAATCCTCCGAAGCACCTCAAAAGGCCCAATGAACCGCAGACTCAATTTCTCTTTTTTTCCAAATCTCATAACACCCTTTATGGGCGAAACTTTCAATAGAACCTTCTCGCCAACCATGTAGGACACATCTCGAACCTTCCTGTCAGTATAACTCTTTTGCCTTGACTACGCTGTACGAAGCCTCTCCCGAATCACCTTCACCTTAGCATTATGCACCAAATTTGTCCCTAATAGCCTAGCCTCACCGGGCTTGAACCAACCAATTGGAGATCTACACCGCCTCCTATACAAAGCCTCATATGGAGCCATCTGAATACTCGACTGGTAGCTGTTGTTATAAGAAAACTCTACAAGCGGTAGAAACTCATCCTATGACCCTCCAAAGTCAATGACATAAGCACGCAACATGTCCTCCAATATCTGAATAGTGCGCTCAGACTGTCCGTCCGTCTGAGGATGAAAAGTTGTGCTCAACTCCACCTGAGTACCCAACTCTCGCTGCACAAACCTCTAAAACTGCGATGTAAACTGAGTGCCCCTATCTGAGATGATGGAAACTGGGACACCATGCAAACGAACAATCTCCTGAATATAGATCTCTGCCAACCGCTCTGAGGAATAGGTAGTACACACAGGAATGAAGTGCGCAGACTTGGTCAGCCGATCCACAATCACCCAAATAGCATCAAACTTCTTCAAAGTCCATGGAAGTCCAACAACAAAGTCCATAGTGATCCTCTCCCACTTCCACTCAGGAATATCCATCTGCTGAAGCAAACCACCCGATCTCTGATGCTCATATTGCACCTGCTGACAATTGAGACACTGAGCTACAAATCCCACAATATCTTTCTTCATTCTTCTCCACCAATAGTACTGCCTCAAATCCTGATACATCTTTGTGTCACCTGGATGAATAGAATACCGCGAGCTATGAGCCTCCTCTAGAATCAACTCCCGAAGCCTATCCACATTGGGCACACAAATCCGGCCCTGCATCCTCAACACTCCATCATCACCAATGGTCACATCTCTAGCATCATCATGCTGGATTCTGTCCCTAAGGACAAGCAAATGTGGATCATCATACTGGCGCTCTCTGATGCGATCATATAAGGAAGACCGAGAAACCACACAAGCCAAAACCCGATTGGGCTCCGAAATATCCAACCTCACGAACCGATTGGCCAAGGTCTGAACATCAACTGCAAGAGGTCTCTCCCCAACTGGAATATATGCCAAACTCCCCATACTCACTGCCTTTCGGCTCAAAGCATCAGCCACCACATTGGCCTTTTCCAGATGGTACAATATAGTGATATCATAATCCTTAAGCAGCTCCAACCATCTTCGCTGCCTCAAATTAAGATCCTTTTATTTGAACAAATGATGAAGACAGTGATGATCAGTAAACACCTCACAAGATACGCCATACAAGTAATGTCTCCAAATCTTCAACGCGTGAACTATGACAGCCAACTCCAAATCATGAATTAGGTAGTTCTTCTTATGGGGCTTCAATTGATGAGAAGCATAAGCAATAACTCTACCCTTTTGCATCAATACACAACCAATCCCAACTCTCGAAGCATCATAATACACGGTATATGAACCTAAAGCTAATGGCAAGACCAACACTGGAGCTGTGGTCAAAGCTGTCTTGAGCTTCTGAAAGCTCTCCTCACACTCGTCCGACCATACAAATAAAGCACCTTTTTGAGTCAACTTGGTCAAGAGCGATGCAATAGATTAGAATCCTTGAACAAAATGGTGATAATAGCCTGCCATACCAAGAAAACTGCGAATCTCTGTGGTTGAGGACGGTCTAGGCCAACTTTGAACCGCCTCTATCTTCTTCGGATCAACATGAATACCCTCGCTGGACACCACATGCCCCAAGAAAGCCACTGAACTGAGCCAAAACTCACACTTGGAGAATTTTGCATAAAGCTTCTTCTCCCTCAATCTCTGCAACACAACTCTCAAATGCTTCGCGTGCTCCTCCTGACTATGCGAGTACACTAGAATATCATCAATGAAAACTATGACAAACGAATCGAGGTAAGGTCAGAACACGCTGTTCATCAAATACATGAACGTTGATGGGGCATTGGTTAGCCCAAAAGACATCACCAAGAACTCATAATGACCATATCAGGTCTTGAAAGTCGTCTTAAGACATCCGAGTCCCTGATCTTCAACTGGTGATAGCCTGAATGGAGATCAATCTTGGAGAACTTCCTCGCTCCCTAAAGCTGGTCGAATAAATCATCAATGCGAGGCAAAGGATACTTGTTCTTAATTGTTACCTTGTTCAATTGCCTATAATCAATACACATCCTCATAGTGCCTCCTTCTTCTTCACAAACAGATCTGGCGCACCCCAAGGTGACACACTAGGCCGAATGAACCCTTTATCAAGGAGTTCCTGAAGCTGTTCTTTTAATTCCTTCAACTCCGTTGGTGCCATACGATACGGCGGAATAGAAATGGATGGAGTGACCAGCACCAGGTCAATACCAAAATCAATATCCCTGTCCGGAGGTATGCCCGACAGGTCTGCAGGAAACACATCAGGAAAATTCCTCACAATTGGAATAGAATCAATACTGGGAGTCTCAGCACCGACATACCTCACAAAGGCTAGATACGAAAGACAACCCTTCCTAACCATACGCTGGGCTTTCAAGAATGAGATCACTCTACTAGGAACATAATTAGTCACACGTCGCCACTCTATCTGTGGCATACCCGGCATAGCCAATGTGACTTCCTTAGCATGATAGTCCAGAATAGCACGACATGGAGATAACCAATCCATGCCTAAAATGACATCAAAATCCACCATGCTCAAAGCAATAGATCCACTCGGGTCTCCAGACCCTCAATAGTCACCACACACACCCAGTACACACGGTCTACAACAACAGTACGCCCATCGGGGTAGATACATGAACAGGTAAAGCAAGAAACTCACAGGGCATACCCAAATAACAAGCAAAGTATGATGACACATAAGAAAAGGTGGAACCAGAATCAAATAATACAGAGGCATCCCAGTGACAGACTGAAACAATACCTGTAATGACAACATTTGAAGCAATAGTATCGGGTCTGCCTAGAAGTGCATAGAAATAGGCCTGACCACCCCTGATCGACCTCCCCCTCTGGGTCGACCCCTAGCTGACTAACCTCCACCCCTAGCTGGCTGGGCGGGTGGTGGTGAAGTAACTGGCGCTGAAGCCGATGACTTACCCCTCTACTGGGACGAACTAGTAATATGACGAGGATACCGCCTCCACATGTGGCCCATCTCACCACACTCATAACAACTCCCAGGTGCTAGAGAAGGGGACTGAAGGGAACCCCTCGCACTGGAGTGACTAGCAGATGCATTCGGCATAGAAGAGCCCTGAGCTGATGGAGCATGGGTCGAACTCTGAGCTGGAAGGACGCTGAGTGATGACTGGCCCTGCTGAGATCCGTGATAACCATGACCCGAAGATGCCCCACGATAACTTGGGTGAGCTGGCTGAGCAGACCTGAATGAATGGCCTCTACCATGCTAAACCTGACCCCTCGAAGGAGCACTACTATAACTGCCAGATCCTCGAGGCCTCTTGGCCTCCCTCTCCTCTTGCTCCTGGCGACGAACAGACTCAATCTCACGGGCAATATCCACAACCTCCTCGAAAGTAGCACCAGTCACTCTCTCCCTAGTCATGAGAATACAGAGCTGATAAGTAAGACCATCAACAAACCTCCTGATCCTCGCTCTATTTGTATGGACCAACCAGATGGCATGATGAGCCAACTTAGAGAACCTCAACTCATACTACGACATGATCATCTCCCCCTGATGCAACCACTCAAACTACCTGCGCAGCTCCTCTCTGCGAGACTGCGACACATACTTCTCCAGAAAGAGAACGGAAAACTGCTGCCAGGTAAGGGGTGCTACACCAGCAGGCCCACGCCTCTCAAAATCCTCCCACCGAGTGAAATCAGCTCCTGAAAACTGATAGGTGGTAAAAGTGACCCCGCTGGTCTCCAAAATACCCGATCGATGAAGCATCCTCTAAAACTTATCCAAAAAGCCCTGGGCATCCTCACTTTCTGCACCGCTGAAGGTCGGAGGCTGAAGTCTATCAAATCTCTCCAACCTACGCTGCTCATTCTCCGGCATGACAGGAACTACATAATCTTAAGCAGCTGCAACAGGCTAGGCTAGATGCGCTCCCGGCATCTGAAGTTTATGCACGACCTGCTCAGGTATGCAAGCGGCGGGAGTCTGATTGTCTCCCCCAGCCTGAGAAGTAGCTGCGATTATAGTGGCTGAAACCGCCTGAGCTAGGCCAGTGCAAACTGATAAGATCTGTGCCAAGACCTCCTGAAGACCCGGAATCATAATGGGCACAGCTGGTGCCTGAGCTGGTGCTGCTGGAGCGTCCATAACTGGGACTTGATCCTGAACTGGGGTAGCTGGTGGATCTGCAGGTGTTGCTCTAGCTGCTCTGCCCCTACCACGACCACAACCGCATCCTCGGCCTCTAGTGGCCATAGCTGGTGGTACTGGGGGTCGTCCACCTTGACCAGTAGCGCGTGTCCTCACCATCTGTGAGAGAGTAGAACAAAAGAAGTTTAGTACTCGGATCAACAAGTTCACACGACAAGAATTTCAAAAATATGATGTTTTTCCTAAAGGTTCTGCAGCCTCTCGAGGATAAATATAGGCATCTCCATATCGATCTGTGAGACTCTACTAAACCTGCTCATGACTCGTGAGACCTATATAACCTAGGCTCTGATACCAACTTGTCACAACCCTAAACCCGGACCCGGTCGTGATGGTGCCTCTCGTGAAGACAAGGCTAGCCGACACTTCCCATTTCTTCCAATTATTAACAATTTAGCATTTAGAAACAATCTATACATGAATAGATAATCCAAAGTAGTAGATAATATCATAAATACGCGGAAGCACAACCCAACACAGCCCTAACCGGGGTATCACTAGTCATGAGCATCTATAAAACCTAATACAAGTTTGAAAGGTCTACAACTAGTACAAAAGTCTGATATGAGATAGAAATGATAAAGAGGGAGAACACGGGTCCGCAGACGTCAAGTAGCTACCTCGTGAACTCTGAATGTCCGCTGGGAGCCCTCAACTCGCACTAGCAGGATCAGCAACACCTGAATCTACACACAGGGGTACAGGGAGTAAAGTGAGTACTCCGACTCAGTGAGTAACAAATGTAACTAATGACTGAAAGTAAGAAAACACATAAGGCACAAGGCATAAGAAAACACATAAGGCACAAGGCATTCTATAATGAAGCAGTAAAATCATTTAAAAGCAGTACAACAGTGGAAACTCAAGTAAAATCCTCTTTCAACAAATAAACAAGTAATTGACAGGTAATTAAGGTAGAGTAAACAAATAAAAGTTCGCCCCTCGGGCACAGTATCACCACATCCGCCCCTCGGGCAACATCTTAGAACAATAACAGCCCCTCGGGCTCAATCTCACATCACAATGGGTACCCGCGCTCACTGGGGTATGCATACTCCTGAAGGGGCCCCTTACGACCCAAGCGCAACAACAAGTCATCTCATGGCATCAAAACTAGGCCATCGGCCTCATATCAATCAAGCTACCTCATAGCGCATATATCTCATGCCCTCGGCCTCAAATCAGTATCAGTATTTCTTCACAACTAGGCCCTCAGCCTTACTCAGTCAAAAATACTCACAAGCCCCTCGGGCAATAGTAAATAGTGTTTCTCAGCCCAAATATCATTTAAAATATCATTTATGTCTTAAAACTGAGTAAACATGGCTGAGTATGAAAACAGTGAAAAATAACAGGACTGAGTTCAAGTGTAAAGTCAAAATAGTGAGGAAATAATAATAAAAATCCCCGAAGGGTTCAAATAGTTGGCACTAGGCCCAAATATGGCATTCAACCCGAATAATGATGATAGCAAATAGTTTTCAATCAAATACGCGGTAAAATCATCAATCGGGACGGACCAAGTCACAATCCCCAATAGTGAACGACCTCACACTCGTCATTAAGCGTATGTCTCACCTCAATATAGCACTACGATGTGCAATTTCGGGGTTTCAAACCCTTAGAACATCATTTACAATTATTACTCACCTCAAACCGGCTAAATCTCTAGCTCGTGACGCCTTTTCTCCTCGAATCGGCCTCCACGCGCATCAAATCTACCCAAAATCAGAACGATGACGTCAAAATATGCTAAGGAAACGAAGCCCAAGCGAAAACAATCAATAAAGGGCACAAATTCCGAAATTACCAAAACCCGACCCCCGGGCCCACATCTTGAAATTCAGTAATTTTTACATCAATAAATTCTTCATCTCCCCACGAGTCTATGCATATTAAGAACACTAAAATCGGAGTCCAAATGACCCCTCAAATCCTCCTTTAAAACCCTCATAAACTGAAGCCTTAATGCTCCATTTTTAGCCATTTAATTCCTTTAATTACAACTTTAATCCATGAAATACTACCATAGAAATGTGTTTTAGGTCCAAAATCCTTACCTTAGCGAAGTTCCCTTGTAATCCCTCTTTTAAATCACCTAAAAAGCTCCAAGCCGAAGTCCAAAAATGGTGTAACCCAAAGTTCGCGAAGGACTCTTTTTAATTCTTCTGCCCAGTTGTTCCGCATCTGCGGCCCCATCGCCGCTTCTGCGGTACCGCATTTGCAGTAAATCCTTTGCTTCTATGGAATTCACTTAAGATCCCAAAAGTCGCATCTGCGATACGCCTTCTGCATCTGCAGCTCCGCAGATACAGCCATCCTTACCGCTTCTGCGGTCACTGACAAATCCTCATAATCAGCTTCTGCGGCCACTCCATCGCATATGCGGCGGTGCACCTGCGGTCCCCAAACTGCAGGTGCGAAAACACCAGAAGCAGCAAAACTTCAGCAGCTGCAATAACAGCTCAACTCCTCAACCATCCGAAATCACCCCAAGGCCCCTAGGACCTCAACCAAAAGTACAAACATAACCCTATACCTTATTCAAACTTGTTACAATCATCACAACACCTCAAATAATACCAAATCAACTAAAACACCTCGGATTCAAGCGTAAGTTTCTAAAATCTTTCGAATTCCGCTTTTGATCAAAAACCCAACAAAACCACGTCCGAATGACTTGAAATTTTACACACACATCCCAAATGACACGATGGAGCTACTGCATCTCTCGGAATTCTATTTTGACCCATATATCAAAATCTCGCCTACCAACCGGAAATTGCCAAAATATCAACTTCGCCAATTCAACCCTAAAACTACTCCAACCCTCCAAAACACATTCCGATCACACTCCTAAGCCATAAATCACCTCCTGAAGCTAACCGAACCATCGAAACTCACATCTGAACACTCTAACATATAAGTCAACATCCAGTTGACTTTTCCAACTTAAACTTCTTTAAAAGAGACTAAGTGTCTCAAACCTCACCAAAATCATTCCGGACTCGATCCGACCAACCTGATACCATTAAACACAGATAACGAAGCATAAAGAAGCAGAAATGGGGAAAATGGAGCGGTAATTCATGAGACGACTAGTCGGGTCGTCACATTTATAATTTATTTTTAAATAATCTGATAAACATACTTATGGCAATCATCCCATGAACTGAAGTTTCATAGCAACACCAACAACAGCAGAAGAAAAAGAAGAAGAAGAAGAAGAAGAAGAAGAAGAAGAAGAAGAAGAAGAAGAAGAAGAAGAAGAAGAAGAAGAAGAAGAAGAAGAAGAAGAAAACGAAGGAAGAGAAGGAGGAGGAGAAAAAAGAGCTGAAGTTGTTTAAAAAGTGGGTACAAATTAAAACCTTTTATAAAAATGGGTATAGGTTAAATGAAGTGACCAAATAGGGTGCCCCGTGCAATTTTTACTACTAAAAGTGAAAAAAGCCCAATAGAAATCCTTAAAAATTTTAGGCCCATGTTGCACAACATAGATAGCTCGATTCAACAAATTAGACAAGGGAAAGTATTAATTTTTTTTTGTTTCAAATCTTTTTGAAAAAAAACATGTTTAAACTAAGATTCTAATTATGGTAAGTAGTGTTTCATGAATAAATGGTCGAATTAATTAAATTGCATTTAGGACAAAAAAACGTGTGATTGCTCAGAATGAAGTTAAAATTGATTTATTTTCCTTGAAATATAGCAATTTGGTATCGTGAAAACTTGTTTGTTTTCTATATCAAACCTCTTGGTTTTAATTAAGAATTTTTTTCAAAATTGATCACAACCTAGAAAAGTTGTGATGATACTTTGGGCATTTATGAAAGTGCAGTGAATATCTCATATAATTTAGTAGTTGCAGAAGTATAAATCTCAATGAGTCGACGTACATCAAAACATCATAATCTCAAAATTTTAGAAGTTTAATCACACTTATTCTTTAATTTTTGCAAAACTCTTTATAGTCAACCTTATTTGATATTTTCATAGAGCAATAGCTTCATTTCTTCTATGTAATAGAAGAGCAACATGTTTCGACATGTCTGCTTAGTGTAATTTTAAAAAAGCTTGAGGGTAATTCAATCATTTAGCATCAACTTCTATACCTGCATGTTTTCCCATCCACAAATACTAAGTGTAGCTTTCTTGATTTCTTTCTCAACCACCGCATCCTTTTCCCACCGTATAATCTTATCACTTACCTGAGGCCCCGAGTGTGCTCATATTTCTTCATTCTCGGTTTTCCCTCTCTTTGGTCTTGCTTCCTGATTTCTCTTTGGAATTTCACTCCTAATACAGTATAATTTATCTCTTTTGTGCTCAACGTGAGAAGAGAACCTGCAAAAACCATTGAGCTTCCTGATTTTTTCCCATCCACAAATACAGCTTTTTCAAAAACTTTAGCAGAAGATGCTGAAGTTATTTATTTCATTTGTAAAAATTTCAGCCCTATATAAGTTGAAGTTTTTAAAAAACCTTTCTAACATACTAGATAAATAATCAGATTGCCAACAATATCCAAATCATAAATTTTGGAAATAATAAACGTGTAAAGAACAGAATTATCATGAAAAGAATCACTATGCATGACATTAAACTTCCCGTACGTGAAAATATTCACAAATTATAGTCTACTAACTTACGTCATTATTTATAATTTATTTTTAAATAATCTGATAAATATACTTATGACAATCATCCCATGAACTGAAGTTTCATAGCAACACCAACAGCAGCAGCAGCAGAAGAAGAAGAAGAAGAAGAAGAAGAAGAAGAAGAAGAAGAAGAAGAAGAAGGAGAAGGAGAAGGAGAAATAAGGCTGAAGTTGTTTAAAAAGTGGGTACAAATTAAGCCCAATAAAATGTGCTAAAAATTTTTACTGCTAAAAGAGAAAAAAGCCCAATAAAAATCCTTAAAACTTTTAGGCCCATGTTGCACAACACAGAGAGCCCGATTCAACAAATTAGACAAGGCCAAGTATTAATTTTCTTTTGTTTCAAATCTTTTTGGAAAACAAACATGTTCAAATTAAGATTCTAATTATGGTAAGTAGTTTTTCATGAATAAATGGTCGAACTAATTAAATTACATTTAGGAGAAAAAAATGTGCGATTGCTGAAAATGAAGTTAAAATTGATTTATTTTCCTCTAAATTATAGCAATTTGGTATCGGAAAAACTTATTTGTTTTCTATACCAAACCTCTTGGTTTTAGTTAAGAAATATTTTCAAAATTGATCACAACCTAAAAAAGTTGTGATGTTACTTTGGGCATTAATGAAAGTGCAGTGAATATCTCATAGAATTTAGTAGTTGTAGAATTATAGATCTCAATGAGTCGACGTACATCAAAACATCATAATCTCAAAATAATCACACTTATTCTTTTAATATCTGCAAAACTCTTTATAGTCAACCTTATTTTGATATTTTCATAGAGCAATAGCTTCATTTCTTCAATATAATAGAAGAGCAACATGTTTCGACATGTCTGCTTAGTGTCATTTTTAAAAAGCTTGAGGGTAATTCAATCATTTAGCATCAACTTTTATACCTGGATTTTTTCCCATCCACAAATACTACGTGTAGCTTTCTTGATTTCTTCTCAGCCACCGCATCCTTTTCCCACCGCATAATCTTAGCGCTTACCTGATGCCCCGAGTCTGCTCATCTTTCTTCATTCTCGGTTTTTCCTCTCTTTCGTCTTGCTTACTGATTTCTCTTCAGAATTTCACTCCCAATACAGAACAATTTATCTCTTTGGTGCTCAACGTGAGAAGAGAACCTGCAAAAATCATTGAGCTTCACCATTACCCAAAAGAATACAAAAAGAAAAGAGAACCTGCAAAAACCATTGAGCTTCACAATTACCAAAATAATACTAAAGGGAAAAAGAAGAAAAAAGAGAAAAAGATCTAAGAAGAATGCAGAGAACCCAAAACAAACCTAGGAAAAAATGAAGGAAAAGTAGATAAAGATATGGGCAATATTGATTGAAAGTGAAACATATCTGCAGCTTGAGAGAAGAAGACAAATAGAGAGCTATGTATCTTGTTAACATACACCTGGTGTTGTTTAATAGTTACAGGCGGAGCTTTGTACAAATAAATTAAAGCCACATATATAATATCAGTCAGAGAGATGATCTAAATGACTAAATTAACCTCGATCATAAATAAAAAGACAAAAAACACACACGTCGAAGCTCAAGCCCTATTAGTTTTGTCATTAAGCTTTTTCAAAAAGTTCAGCAGAAGATGCTGAAGTTATTTAGTTCATTTATAAAAACTTCAGCATTAAATAAGCTAATGTTTTTTTGTCCTGGATAAGTTTTTTCAAAAACTTCAGCAGAAGATGCTGAAGTTATTTAGTTCATTTGTAAAAACTTCAGCACTAATAAGCTGAAGTTTTTTTTGTCCTAGATTCATTAGTTTTGTCATAAAGTTTTTTCAAAAACTTCAGCAGAAGATGCTGAAGTTATTTATTTCATTTGTAAAAATTTCAGCCCTATATAAGCTGAAGCTTTTGAAAAAGCTTTCTAACATACTAGATAAATAATCAGATTGTCAACAATATCCAAATCATAAATTTTGGAAACAATAAACGTGTAAAGAACAGAATTATCATGAAAAGAATCACTAAGCGTGACATTAAACTTCCCGTACGTGGAAATATTCACAAATTATAGTCTACTAACTTACGTCATTATTTATAATTTATTTTTAATTAATCTGATAAATATACTTATGACAATCATCCTATGAACTGAAGTTTCATAGCAGCACCAACAACAGTAGAAGAAAGAAGAAGAAGAAGAAGAAGAAGAAGAAGAAGAAGAAGAAGAAGAAAACGAAGGAGGAGAAGGAGAAGGATAAATGAGGCTGAAGTTGTTTAAAAAGTGGGTACAAATTAACACTTTTTAAAAAATGGGTATAGGTTAAATGGGGGCGACCAAATAGGATGCCCCGTGCAATTTTTTACTGCTAAAAGGGAAAAAAGATTAATAAAAATCCTTAAAAGTTTTAGGCCCATGTTGCACAACACAGAGAGCCCGATTCAACAAATTAGACAAGGCCAAGTATTAATTTTCTTTTGTTTCAATTAATTTTGGAAAACAAACATGTTTAAATTAAGATTCTAATTATGCTAAGTAGTTTTTCATGAATAAATGGTTGAATTAATTAAATTGCATTTAGGAGAAAAATATGCGATTGCGGAAAATGAAGTTAAAATTGATTTATTTTCCTTGAAATTATAGCAATTTGGTATCATGAAAACTTAATTGTTTTCTATACCAAACCTCTTGGTTTTAATTAAGAAATTGTTTCAAAATTGATCACAACCTAAAAAGGTTGTGATGTTACTTTGGGCATTTATGAAAGTTCAGTGAATATCTCATAGAATTTAGTAGTTGCAGAAGTATAGATCTCAATAAGTCTACGTACATCAAAACATCATAATCTCAAAATTTTAGAAGTTTAATCACACTTATTCTTTTAATCTCTACAAAACTCTTTATAGTCAACCTTATTTGATATTTTCATAGAGCAATAGCTTCATTTATTCTATATAATAGAAGAGCAACATGTTTCGACATGTCTGCTTAGTGTCATTTTAAAAAAGCTTGAGGGTAATTCAATCATTTAGCATCAACTTCTATACATGCGTTTTTTCCCATCCACAAATACTACGTGTAGCTTTCTTGATTTCTTTCTCAGCCACCGCATCCTTTTCCCATCGCATAATCTTATCGCTTACCTGAGGCCCCGAGTGTGCTCATCTTTCTTCATTCTCGGTTTTCCCTCTCTTTGGTCTTGCTTACTGATTTCTCCTTGAAATTTCACTCCCAATACAAAACAATTTATCTCTTTTGTGCTCAACGTGAGAAGAGAACCTGCAAAAACCATTGAGCTTCACAATTACCCAATAGAATACAAAAGGAAAAGAGAACCTGCACAAACCATTGAGCTTCACAATTACCAAAAGAATACAAAAGGGAAAAAAAGAAGAGAAAAGAGAAAAAGATCTAAGAAGAATGCAGAGAACCTAAAACAAACCTAGGAAAAAACGAAGGAAAAAGAGATAAAGATATGGGCAACGTTGATTGAAAGTGAAACATATCTGCAACTTGAGAGGAGAAGACAAACAGAGAGTTATGTATCTTGTTAACATACACCTGCTGTTGTTTAATAGTTACAGGCGGAGCTCTGTACAAATACATGAAAGCTACGTATATAATATCAGTGAGAGAGATGATCTGAAATGACTAAATTAACCTCGACTATTAATAAAACGACACAAAACACATATGTCGAAACTCAAGCTCTATTAGTTTTGTCATCAATTTTTTTCAAAAAGTTTAGCAAAAGATACTGAATTTATTTACTTCATTTATAAAAACTTTAGCACTAAATAAGCTGAAGTTCTTTTGTCCTGGATAAACTTTTTCAAAAACTTCAGCAGAAGATGCTGAAGTTATTTAGTTCATTTGTAAAAACTTCATCACTAAATAAGCTGAAGTTATTTTTGTCCTAGATTCATTAGTTTTGTCATAAAGCTTTTTCAAAAACTACAGCAGAAGATGCTGAAGTTATTTAGTTCGTTTGTAAAAATTTCAGCACTATATAAGCTGATGTTTTTGAAAAACCTTTCTAACATACTAGATAAATAATCAGATTGCCAACAATATCTAAATCATAAATTTTGGAAACAATAAACGTAAAAAGAATAGAATTATCATGAAAAGAATCACTAAGTGTGACATTAAACTTCCCGTACGTGGAAATATTCACAAATTATCGTCTACTAACTTACGCAATTATTTATAATTTATTTATAAATAATCTGCTAAACATACTTATGGCATTCATCCCATGAGCTGAAGTTTCATAGCAGCACCAACAACAGCAAAAGAAAAAAGAAGAAGAAGAAGAAGAAGAAGAAAACGAAGGAGGAGGAGAAAGGGGGCTGAAGTTGTTTAAAAAGTGGGTACAAATTAAAACTTTTTAAAAAATGGGTATAGGTTAAATGAGGGCGACCAAATAGGGCGCCCCGTGCAATTTTTACTGCTAAAAGTGAAAAAAGCCCAATAAAAATCCTTAAAAATTTTAGGCCCGTGTTGTACAACACAGAGAGCCCAATTCAACAAATTAGACAAGGCCAGGTATTAATTTTCTTTTGTTTCAAATCTTTTTGGAAAACAAACATGTTTAAATTAAGATTCTAATTATGCTAAGTAGTTTTTCATGAATAAATGGTTGAATTAATTAAATTGCATTTAGGAGAAAATATACGATTGCGGAAAATGAAGTTAAAATTGATTTATTTTCCTTGAAATTATAGCAATTTGGTATCATGAAAACTTATTTGTTTTCTATACCAAACCTCTTGGTTTTAATTAAGAAATTTTTTCAAAATTGATCACAACCTAAAAAGGTTGTGATGTTACTTTGGGCATTTATGAAAGAGCTGTGAATATCTCATAGAATTTAGTAGTTGCAGAAGTATAGATCTCAATGAGTCGACGTACATCAAAACATCATAATCTCAAAATAATCACACTTATTCTTTTAATCTCTGCAAAACTCTTTATAGTCAACCTTTTTTGATATTTTTATAGAGCAATAGCTTCATTTCTTCTATATAATAGAAGAGCAACATGTTTCGACATGTCTGCTTAGTGTCATTTTAAAAAAGCTTGAGGGTAATTCAATCATTTAGCATCAACTTCTATACCTGCATTTTTTCCCTTCCATATGTAACGACTCGACCAGTCGTCTCATGAGTTACGCTCTGTTTTTTCCATTTCTACTTCTTTATGCTTTGTTTATCCGTGTTATGTGGTCTCGGGTTGGTCGGATCGAATCCAAAATGATTTTGGTAAGGTTTGAGACACTTAGTCTCTTTTGAGGAAGCTTAAGTTGGAAAAGTCAACCGGATGTTGACTTATGTACTAGAGGGCTCAGATGTGAGTTTCAATAGTTCGGATAGCTTCGGAAGGTGATTTGGGACTTAGGAGCGCGATCAGAATGAGTTTTGGAGGTTCGCAGTAGAACTGTGCTTGAATTGGCAAAGTTGACATTTTTGGCGATTTCTTGTTGATAGGTGAGATTTTGATATAGGGGTCAGAATGGAATTCCGAGAGTTGCAGTAGTACCATTGTATCATTTGGAATGTGTGTGCAAAATTTTAGGTCATTCGGATGTGATTTGGTTGGGTTTTTGATCAAAAGCGGAATTCGGAAGATTTTGAAAACTTAGGCTTGAATTCGATGTGTTTTGATTGATTTGATGTTGTTTGAGGTGTTTGGAAGATTGATATGAGTTTGAATAAGGTTTTGGATGTTGGTGCCTTTGGTTGATGTCCCGGGGAGCCTCAGGGTGATTTCAGATGGTTGACGGGGAGTTTGAAACTTTGTTGCAGCTGCTAAATTTGCTGCTTATGGTATTTCCGCACCTGCGGATTGGGGACCGCAGGTGCGATGCTGCATGTGCGATAAGGGAGGTCGCAGAAGCAGAAATGCCTGGAAAGGCAAGGACCGCTGATGTAGTTGATGGACCGTACCTGCGAAGGCGCAGGTGCGGAATGTTGATCGCATGAGCGGTTTTGGCCGTTAGGTGAAGAACTGCAGAAGTGGTTAGTTGGCCGCATATGCAGTACTGCAGAAGCAGTGAATAGAGCCGCATATGTAAAAATGCATGGGCAGAAGATATAAATTGTGGCCTTCGCAAATTTTACCTAATTTCACCATTTTTATCTCGGCTTTGGAGCTTTTTGGACGATTTGAAAGAGGGATTCCAAGGGAACTTCATTGAGGTAAGCAATTTGGACCTAAAACTCGTTCAAATGCCATTATTTCACGGATTAGAGCTAGAAATTATGGAAATTAAGGGTGAAAATTTGGGAAACTAGGGCTTTAAAACTTAGACCTTTGCTTGAGGATTTAAAGGACCATTTGAGGTCGGATTTCAGAACTTTTGATATGTATGAACTCGTGAGGAGATGAGGAATCTATTGATGTAAAAATTATCGAATTATGAGACATGGGCCCGGGGTCGGGTTTTGATAATTTCATGATTTTTGGTATTATTTGATTGTTTTTGCTTGGGCTTCGTTCCCTTAGCATATTTTGACATCGTGATTCTAATTTTGGATAGATTCAACACGAGTGGAGGCCGATTCGAGGGGCAAAGGCATCGCGGAGTAGTATTTTCACCAGTTTGAGGTAAGTAACCATTGTAAATCTGAAACTGAGCGTAAAAACCCCGGTATTTGACTTGTTTTGATAAATGCGGTGACGCACATGCTAGGTGACGAGCGTGTGGGTGTGCACCAGTAGGGATTGTGACTTTGTCCATCTCGTAGCGACTATTAAGTCGCGTATTTGATTTGGAATCTTATATTATTCCGTACTTTAGTCATTTATACTATATTATGGGTTATACGCCATGTTTGGGCCTTGTGCCGACCTGTTGAGACCCTTAGGGGCATTTTTACTGTTTTTTCTCACTCTACTTGTTGAAAGCATATCCTTAGTCAGGGTTTACCTGTTTAAATGTTTAAAACTGGTTTTATAACTTCACTTTTAATTGTGAGGACTGTTGGGCTGAGTTCCCTAATTTCTATAGTTGTGCCCGAGAGGCTATGAGGATAATGACTAAAAGAGGTTGAGAACCTAATAGTGAGGATATTATATGTATATATTATGGATTGGGCTGCACGCCACAGCGATACTTATATGGATCGGGCTACACATCTCAGCGATATATATATTGGATCGGGCTGCATGCCGCAACAATATATGCATTGGATCGGGCTGTGCGTTGCAGCGATATGACGTTTGGGCTGTATGAGCCCCTCCAGAGTATGTACACCCCAGTGAGCGTAGTCAACTATAAATTATGGATCGAGTTGCACGCTGCAGCAGTTACTATGATTTTTATTATTAGATATTAATGAGCTGAGTGCTGAGAGTGAGTATAGAGTGACGAGAATTGAGTCATGAGTGACTGAGAGGCTGCCCGAGGGGCCATATTCTGAGTGATTCCTTGCCCGAGGGGCCCAGTTATAATATTTTCACTGATTTCACTCTTCTTTTAAATAAGCCTCTGTTGGAAATATTGCTAGGTATATGATTTTAAGTGTTTTAAACTGAAAATGTTGATTTTATGACGAAACTTGTTTTAAACTGTAAAGTTGATCTATTATTCTGTTGTTTATTCAGTTATATGATTTTTAACTGCTTGTCACTGCTTTCAGTCCTTATTTACTTTAGTTACTTACTGAGTTGGCATACTCACGTTACTCTATGCACCTTGTGTGCAGATCCAGGTGCCCGAGCGGCCGAGTGAGGGTCTTCAGCTGATCCAGTGTTTGACGGAGATTTCTAGATAGTTGCATGCCATCCACAGCCCTGTTTTCTCCACCATGTCTTGTTATTTTTCCTCATTTTCTAGACTTATGATGTAGTAGATATTCACACATATACTAGAGGCTTTAGACTCGTGACACCAGATTATGGGGCTGTGTAGTTTCCTGTTTATTTGACTTCCGCATATTTTTTGTTGCTTTAAATGTTTATAATAAAATTTGGTATTTAAAACCTGTGTTAGAAAATGGCTTATTGTTAAAGGGAAAAGGGTTATGATTCATTGATTGGTTGGCTTGCCTAATAATATGATAGGCCCCATCACGACTGGTATTTGGGGTCGTGACAAGTTGGTATCAGAGCCTAGGTTACATAGGTCTCGCGAGTCATGAGCCGGTTTAGTAGAGTCTCGCGGATCGGTACGGAGACGTCTGTATTTATCCTCATGAGGCTGTAGAACCTTTAGGAAAAATCTTCATATTCTTGAAATTCTTCTCGTGCGAACTTGTTGATCCGAATACTAAACTTTTGTTATTCCATTATCTCACAGATGGTGATGACACGTGTTATCGGGCAGGGTGGACGACCACCAATTCCACAAGTTGGGGCCACCAGAGGCCGAGGACGTGGTCGAGGCCGTGGTAGGGACAGAGCAGCTAGGGTAGCACCTGCAGATCCACCAGCTGCCTCAGTTCAGGATCAGGTCCAAGTTGTGGACACTACAACTCCACCAGCTCAGGCACCAGCTGTGCCCACTGTGATTCGAGGCCTTCAAGAGGCTTTAGCTCAGATCTTATCAGTGTGTACCAGTTTGGCTCAGGCAGTTTCA